TCTATCCTCTATTACTATACGGATTGCTATTCTCTATACTATTCACTATACGGATTACTATTCAGATCACTATTCGGTGGTTACTTTTCGAGCGAGTATTATCGAGCAAGTACTATAAGTGCGAGTGTTATTCGAAGGCGTCTAACACCAGTATTGTTCAATGGCGTACTATAGTTGTATCTGCGAGTACAAAGTCTCTACTACAACGAACATTACGAAAGTGACAACGAGTATTCGTTGATATTACAAAATCTGGCAACGAGTGTTCGTTGACATCACAAAAGGTATGTTGCGGATTCTTCTGTTACTTGATGATTCTAGATTAGCATTTTCAATGTAAATGTTGTTCTCTTCATCTAAGTCGTTCATTTTAAAAAATATTTTGGTAAATTCTCTAATTTTGGGTAATATTTATATTAAAAAAATTACTTCCGTCTTTTTATAAATTGATAATTGATGTTATTCTAAATTGTATACTTTTACTTTTTTTCAACTAATAGTATCGGGTGACATTCACAGAAGATCAATTAACAAAACTCCTCACTACTACAGCATTTCTCTTTTGTATTCTGATATTATTATTATTATTATTATTGTTATTATTATTATTTGCTTCTTTTGTTTAGTACTAGTTGCCACCAAGTCCCAATTAGAAATTAAAGTACAATTTCTTTTGCATCAGAATAAGCAAATAAGTAAAGTACTATACAATTAGAAAAAAGTGATTAGTATCATTGCATGGAAAGAAATCTACGCAAAATGTGAGAAGTACATATGAGTCAGATTTGATCCCCATGTTTGTCTACTTCTTTTGATATCATTACTAGAATCGCAATAAAAAATACGTAATTTTGTCTTCAAATGCCACATTCTACTGGTTTCTATCTTTTGTTCCTTGTATTTACTTAATTTCTCAAAACCATTTTCAAAGATGTGTTTTTGTCGGCTGGAGCTGCAGCATCTATCAGAAAACAGGTGTTTTCAACATGATTTTTTTCACAATTATGTTTGGTCGATTTGCCTGGATTTACCCCCCCCCTCAGTCTGAATGCTGAAATTCCAAAATGTGTCAATTATTAGAAGCACGACGTATAACCTTCGCGCTTCAAACACTTCGTAAATCCCGGTCAAGTTTCTTTCTTTGTGGTAGGCCATTATTCTCTTCTTCATTCTTCATAGCTATCAAATCTAGTTTTCTTCCAGCGGTGGATGTGGGTGGCTGTATCGGTCGGTATGCATTTTATTCTTTCTACTTTCTACAAGAACCCCCGCTTTGTTCTGACACTATGGTCGATAGCATATTCTGCGCTGAATTCCCACTGTTTCTTCCTCCTGACACATCTTACTTCATTCACTTTTGAATCATTTTATTGTTGCATAATTCTTCAATAGATGATATTTCTTTACTGTTTCTCTGTTTTATCCGTGTCTTTTTTATGTAGTCCATCCTTTAATCTAGACCAGCGTTTCTCAACCGGGGTTCGCCAGAAACCTAAGGTTCCGCAAACGGTCCGCAAGTGTTCCTCGAGAACAGGTGACATAAGCTATTGCACTTTTGACGTTTTACTTAATTTCATATATGTAATATTACTAAACACACACAATATATTCTTGGTCATGTGTGAGCAAGCCTTTTCTTATTTACAAGTATCAAGAGCAAAGACAGAAATCGTCTCCTCTCAATTGAGAATAAAATCCGTGTGTGTTTATCTAAAGTTCGACCTCGAATTAAGTATTTGTGTAACAAAAGACAGGCGCAGGCTTCATATTAGAGAAGTATGTTTATCAAATAGCCCTAAAAGTAACATTTTCTTAGCCCATTTATTGGTTCACAAGACATTTTGTCTTGATTTACCATATTTCTTCTCAACATTGCTAGTAAAGGAGAAATTTAAAAAAAAAAAAAACCCTGATGCAGCAATTACCTGTTTTCTTTCTGTTTACATTTATATTATAAGTATAAGATATTGATTACTTATGTTTATTTTTTACGTTTGAGTTTAGAATTTTTTTGTGTTAATGAAAACTCCCTGATGAAGTATTATAAAGGTACAGTCTGAATTTTATTTAACATTATCTAAAAAAGAAGTGTTAATTTTTCCTTAAACCAGTTATTCAAAAATATATACTATGATATTTACCACGTGAACTATGATGAAAATAAAATGAGAATGATATGGTCTATAATTTTATTTTTGCACATGAGTTCCATGAGACATGTAATTTATTTTAAGGATTACGCAAGGATAAAAAGATTGAGAAACACTGATCTAGATTGTAACAATAAAACGTATTGTTTTCCTTCTCAGGTTTTCTCTACGTATAACCTTCCGTTTTCGATATTTTCTGCTTTCCTTTTAAATTCTCTGTAGAGAATTGTCTTGCTCACGGCGGACTTCAGAATATGTAAAGATATTTTGGTGCACATTATCCATAAACCAATTCGCGGCCAACTGTAGACTCTCCGCTCCGACTTCATGTACTTGTTACTCCACCATACACACACACATAAACCTAACAACACCGTACATATAACCAAACTTCCTTTCCACTTGCAGCTGATAGTTATATATATATTTTATTATGAACTTCAATTTGTATTTTTCACATTTTGAAATATAATCTTTCTTTTTCTCGACTCACCTAACATCATTTCAGGCACCCAATGCGCCGCGATGTACCATTTGGAAAACACTAAATTAAAAGAAGCAGATTGAACCTTTTGTTAATTTTTTTATTGTATTAATTTTATTCTTTTCTTTCAGTGTTGATGACTTTTTCGTTATGTGTATCGGCTCTGGTAGAGTATATTAATTCTGTGGCAAGTAATGTCGTTTGGGTCAAGTTTCTTGAATATAAAATCAATTTTGCTGATTTCATTATTTTTTATTTCTTTTCTTTTCCCACTTTCCCATATTCTTTCTTCTGATTTAATGAACTGAGGGAGAAAAAAAAAGCTGGCGGATATGCGTTGGACTACATTCAAGTATAGCTGAGTATTTATCTGTTTATCTATCAAACTGTGTACATTGCCCGCTTTGGGGATAAGGCGATCGGAAAAACAAAACAAAAACTGCTGAATTAGAGCAAACCAATTTAAACATTAAGGAGTGAAGTAGATCCAATTAAACCAGTCAACAAGTAAAATCTTTCATATATGAATACGCTGTTTTAGCTTAACACTTTCACGAATGCAAAACAATTTTATATTGTCTATTGTTTCTGCATGCCAAAACATAATTGAATAAGCAATTTGTCTAGTTAAAGTATCGAACTTTGTAACAAATTCAACACTGATCTAAGGAATATAAAATAAAAATAAAGATGACGCTAGCGAAATATTGAATAATGATTTTGAAAATAAATGGCGAAGTATATAAAGGAAATATTTTTTTTAATTATCATATTCGCATGAATTTAATGTATAGGAATATAAATATATTATATATATATATATATAGGAATGGTAAATTCGGCAATAACATTGATAAAATAACATTTCGTCGGACACCAATAAAATATTAGGCACTATTTTACCTCAAGATGGCAAGTTCGCACTTAACGACTTACTTGCTTAACGACCCATACTTACGAACAAATATAAAATCTAAAATAATTTAAAAAATATCCAATCAGTTAGTATAGTATAAGTGTCGCCAATATACACGCGTTTTTCTAAATGAAAACAAAAAGCTACCCTCTGTTTTAAAAAAATTCCAAAAATTAAGCAAATATCAGAATTAAATGTTATTTTCAGTACTTATTCATTAATGAATAAATTTTATACTGAATAGATTATTTTATTAAAAGATTTCTGGAAATATTTTCGATCAGTGACACAGGCCCTTCAGTACATGGTGAAAACATTTTACAAACTGGGTGTTAATAACAAATATTTTTTATAGTTTTATAAATAGAAATTCCTGAAGTTGTTTTCTCATATAAGAATTAAAAAAAAATCAAAAAAAAAACAGAACTTCTTGAATTAAATTCTAAAGGTTACAAATGTCGCATTTCAAGCTATCTGAAGCTAATTGACACGAACCGATTACACGTGTTCTCAAATAGCGGTCATCTACAACTTCTCACTTAGTGACCATCTAGTTTTACTACGGAATCCGGTCGTTAACTGAGGAGTGACTGTAAATACATTCAAATAATGTTCAACCAAAGAATATAAATTTTTCTTGAAAACAGAAAAAGTACTTTTAATGCCTAAATTTTAGGACAGGTTTACTCGCTAGAAATGAGTCAGAAGAAACGAAACTCAAACATAAATAAAAAAAATAGTCAAGTAAATAACGGAAGATCATTTTCAAGAATTATGATAGAAAATGCTAAATATATGCTTATGTAAAAATTTCGAAAAGTCAATCGCTATAAACATACACACACAAACACACACTCACGCACGCACACACGCACACGCACACACTTTACGCATAGACAGAAAGAATCAGGCGCTTTTTCTGAAATTCTGGGATGAGGTATTATCATTATTTACATTAATCACACGTGAACTATTATCCACATCTTTGTTGTTATCACAATGTTTCTGCCTTCATCTGGGATAATAATATCATGGATTAAAACATTATTTCGTGGATATGGTGACATAGTAATTGCGAGTTCAATCTTTGGGCTGGGCAGTGCGTACTTGGATTCAGTAGAAACGGGGAGAGTAATAACCGAATAATACTAAATAAGAACAAGACGATATATCCCTAGATATGGGTAGTGGAATAAGAAAAAAAACTACCATCGTAGATTAAATAAAGGGTTCACTTCGAAATTCTCTAAAGGTTACCTGGATCGACAATCACTTGATGAAGGGCGGAGAGCACAACGGCCAAATCTTTATGATAACAACAACAAAGATGAAGACCATTATACACGAGTAAATAATGTAAATAGCATGTATATATATATATATATATATATATATATATATATAGAGAGAGAGAGAGAGAGAGAGAGAGGGAGGGAGATAGATTGTAAACAGATTTAGATAGATAGATAGATAGATAGATAGATAGATAGATAGATAGATAGTAAACAGATTTAGATAGATAGATAGATAGATAGATAGATAGATAGATAGTGAACAGACAATGATAGATAGGTAAATATATAATGAACGCCCTTAGATAGATAGATAGATAGATAGATAGATAGATAGCAAGCAAACAAGCAAGCAACCAATCATGCGACGCATAAATATGAAAATATGAAATCCAAATGAGACAATTTACATAGAAAAATATACAAATTGGAGACAAATTATTTCTCTGAGGACGTGTAAACATACACACATAAACATACACATGATTCAGTAGACGTGTGTGCGCGTGTGTGCTTTTGCCTGTGTTTACTTGTGTTCGCGTCTAAGGCAAAATTTAACGTCTGGAAATGCGGGAGTGATTTAACATAAGAATAAAAGTTTGCAGAAGAAATTATGACAAACAGATTTTTTAAAACTCATTCCACGGCCGTATAAAGGCACTAATAAATTTAGGCTATTATTTATTGGTAAAACTGATCTGCAGTCATTGAATGTCATAAAAAGAACAGCGAATAGATTTTGAGCAATGAGCACCAGAGAATTTCATGGCTCAATCCGGATTATAAAACAGGGAGAATATAAAATTCAAAACGTATTTCGCACTTTATGCTTTTATATATTTATCGCTTTGGTTAGATTTTTTTTCTGGTTAAAATAAAAAAAAAAAAATAATAAATAAATGGTGTAAAAATAACATTTCTATAAATGCATGGGTGAATAAGGAAATTCAACTCCTGTGCAATGAAAAAAAAAGGTGGGGGTGTGAATGCAAAAGCTAGGTAGGGGGAATGGGGGGGAAGTGAAGTTAGAAGGGCAGGGAGAGAACATAAGGAATCGGCGAAAGACGAGAGAAAGTGCAGAAAAAGTGACAAAAGAAAGAAAGTTATATATTATTGAAACTGAAATGGACAGAGAAACACCGTGAGAAAAAGAGAAAGAGAAAAATGAGAATAGAGAATGAGTTTTAAAAGAGAAATCAGAAGGAAGATGAAAGAAAAAAGAGAAATCAGAAGGAAGATGAAAGAAAAAAGAGAAAAATAGAAAAAGAGGAGGATTTGGGAGTTTAAATTGAAAGCCGATGTAATTCGAGATGGAATAAATAGAAAAGCTAAAACGAGCATAAGGGATATAGTCGACTTGAAGTGAGTTAGATGCGGAAAGAAAAGGTCGAATTTAATGGTAGAAAAGGAATGAGACAAAATGAAATGCCCATAATAAAGAGAATATACCAATGAAAAGAAACTGAGACAGTGGATGGATAATAAGAATAATAACGTTATAAACAGTATTTAAATATCCTAAAATAAGTACTCCATCGAAAAAAGAAATAAAGGAAATATATATATATATATATATATATATATATATATATATATATATATATATATATATATATATATATATATATATATATATATATATATATATATATATATATATATATATATATATATATATATATATATATATATATATATATATATATATATATATATATATATATATATATATATATATATATATATATAGAGAGAGAGAGAGAGAGAGAGAGAGAGAGAGATGCAGATATGCAGCTTTGGTTGAAGTCAAATGAAATTTTAGGATTTTTTTATTTAATTTTTCTAAGGTTTTTACCATTTTCTCTGATTTCCGGGGAAAATTTGTTCATGAGTTTTCCAATCTTTTCTGGATATTTTCATAAGCTATTATGAAAGAAGTTTAATTTGTGTTGGGAGTGTTGTAGAAATATTAAATTAAACACTCTTGAAAAAATTTCCGTCTGCACGAATACAAAAACTGCTTCTGAAATATACACTCTCTGTCTGTCTGATCTCTCTCTCTCTCTCTCTCTTTCTCTCTCTCTCTATCTATCTATTTAAATATATATATATATATATATATATATATATATATATATATATATATATATATATATATATATATATATTATGTATGTATTTATGTATATTGAGTGTAATATGTTAAACATTTCGCCTCAACCATCGAGATAACGTCACTAAAAACCAAGTTATTGAGGTTACAGGACAATAAAAGAACAGGATTCAGAAAGACAGGTATTTGAATTTATGTATAGTCAGTGCATATATAAATATATAGATACATATCTATATATATATATATATATATATATATATATATATATATATATATATATATAGAGAGAGAGAGAGAGAGAGGGGAGGTTTTATTCAATTCAGTATTTTTACAAAAGAAAATTTGTATCAAACAACTGCTATTGGTAAAATTTCCTGATGTACTTATATTTATATGATAAATATTCCAAGTAAATTTTAGCCGATAACATTTTTTATAAAAAATGTTGAGAAACTGTTTAATGGTGTCAGATTTTATTATGCAATTAGATAGTTGTTTGTCATATTGCAAATAAATATATAAGTATGAATATATTTATTGATATTTTATTTTTAATGTCTGATACATAACAATTTCCAACAGTTACATGACAGATATGTAGTCTAAAAGGGAAACAAGATATATTAATGATAATGAATGATCGGAACAGAAGGTTGGAATTGCGCGAACGAGGAACAAAGAAAGCAGAACACTAAAAAAAAATGGAAAGCATTGGACTTGTAAGAATATATATATATATATATGATAAGATATATATATGTATATATATGATAAGATATATATATATATATATATATATATATATATATATATATATATATATATATATATATGATAAGATATATACCTAGACAAAGAGCATGAAACGGACTGTTGTTTTCACTGTCCAGTGTGACCAATCAACTAAGTTACAAACTTGATATTTGTATTAATTCTCCATCCCTCCCTCCTCTCTCTCTCTCTCTCTCTCTCTCTCTATATATATATATATATATATATATATATATATATATAGAGAGAGAGAGGACAATTCTAGAAAGAAAATTCGGATTGCCAACACACAAACAGAATGTCTCATATCGAGAATATTCCACATTGAACATGAAGAAAAATTAATTATTTTTAATAATATGTAAAAATCTCCACTTTCACCTGAAGACGGTTGCGAGACCAGACCAGAAACACGTGTCGTGAAATTATGTAAAACAAAGTATAATATTTTTTCTCAATAAATCCACATTACAACCAAAAACGTTTGCGGCACCCCTCTTCTTTTTAATATACATACTTTTCTCTCGTTGGAACCACTACAACATATTTCTTTTATATAAATATATATATATATATGATTAGTCCAAATATATATAGGATTAATACAAATATAAAATGTGTCATTTAGTTAACTGATGGTATCTTCAGCACCTAAACTCCGATATATTATAGGCATGAGTTTTTGGTTTACCTTCTGGATTTAATAATTAGTAAGTGTCACATATTTGATGTAATGTACTATTAAACTGAAATGCTGAGTCTGTTTAACGCATTAGAGCATGGCGTCCATTTTTTCTTTTTTTAGAGAAGAGATTACCTAAAATTTTAAAATCCGCCAACCCAAAGATTACCATTAGTCAACAATATAAATTTGGCAAAAGAACTAAAATTTTAAGAATACATAACAATCTTATAATAAGAATCCTAATAAAGGCGTGTATGTCTGATTAAGTGTCTCTGGTATTTCAAACCGATTAATCTGAAATTTCTCGTATAAGAATCAGATTATACGAAAAATGGGCTGGAGCTGCTCGATCCTCACTTTCTACCCTTGTTAGAGTTCAAAATCATTTGCGCGGTCTCTTGGTTGAAGCCGTAAATCTCTACTCGGCAGCCTCTTTCCTACAGACGCAACGTACTAAGACTATCACTACTTTATTGCGATATCCATGACAAATGTTAAAATGAGCTTCATTCTTTGGTTCCACCAGTTCAAACCTTTACTGCTAGGAGACGCTAGTCAAATCACTCTCATTTCCACCGAATTATAAATGTAAGGAGAAAGTTCTACTAATTTTTTTTTCATCTAAAGAATTGGGCGGATACTTACCTGCAGTCTTAACCTCTTCAAATCAAGGGAAAGTGATTATCTATCCTTCAATTCCTACCACTTCTTTTGTTCATATCACACCTCGTAAATCATAACCATTTTTAAAGTAACCCTCTAGTCTGAGTGGCAAAATTTATTTTTCAGAACAATTTTATTTCTTTGACATTTTTAACAATTTTTTCACTTGACAAGACTATATGAAGGATATTTCAAAATACAATAATTCTCCTCAAAAGAGTGAGGATGTTTCTACCTTTTTATATTGGAAGGTCTAATGAAAATAATTTAATTTTCAAAAAAATAAACTTTTGATAACTGGGTGTGGAGTGCCGGCGATTGGAGAAACACTTCTAATAGTAACAAGGGACGGGAAGTTGTGGAGAGCCAAGACCGTCTACTTTCTGAAGGGACACGGCAAGTAAAAGTAGTATCTGTTCTACTCATTCTGCTTTCGACCAAAAACGCAGACAGACATAAAGTGTAACAAAATAAAAAAGATATTTATTAATTATCAGGCGTTTTTGAAGGCGAGTTATTTGTTAATAAAAATTTCTGTTTTGTTTACTTTTTTAATAAAAATATTATTTTATTTTCAGGTTATAAAAATGCGCGTCGATAATCCTGAATAATCATTTAAAAATGTTATTGCTGAATTTGTTATGTTTCCTTTTTGTCAAAAGAAAATTGTTGAAAAACGCCTGATAATTATACACCAAACCATTACTTTTTTTTTTTTTACAAATATTAAGATGTTCAGAGAAATTATTTTGATACGCTAATAATTGTAAGCAACCTTCTTCTTTAGCTGATTGTTCCTTACCTCCTCTCCTAGCAATTGTTGAGTATCACAACTCTCACCTCTTGACTATTCACGTCAAGCTGGAGTATCTGCTTTTATTTCTTTTGAGTCGTCTAATAGGCAGGAACCATTTAATCAAGATTTCTTTCTGTTGCCATCGTACTGATTGGGATTCGTTTCGTGACTTTCCTCGAGACATCACTTATATTGATATATCCTTAACATTCCTATTGAGAATTGTGCTTCAAGGTTTTTTTTGTCTTTTATTTTTTTTGGCTTAAAGCTGGCATTGTACCAGAAATACGAGGTGAAAGCACAAACTTCTCCTTTGTTCATACCTATCCGTTCAACCGCTAGAGCCCATAGGAACCACTTTTTTTGGCTATACCAGCGTGATAGTTCCAATCACTACAGACGTCTCTTTGAGTTTGCTCGTAATAATTATAAAAGAAGTTTCTGCTTGCTGATAGAACGAGACACTATATAGTTTATAACGTTTGGTTCTTGTGACTCCTGGCGGCTCTTTAATAGTGTTTTAAATAAGAGCCATTCTTCTATTCCTTCTCTCATCACTCAGTTTGGGGTGGTAATATCTGCTGATAAAGAAGAATGTTTTGCTTGTAAATTTTCTTCAATTTCTAATCTTGACTCATCTGGACTATTTTTGTCTGACTTTCCACTTAGCCGTTAGTCTAGATTAGACTGACCTATATATAACTCCATCTATGGTTTCTGCTATCATCTCTAAACTGTATCCCCACAAAGCATGTGAAGTTGATGGTATCTCTACAATGGACCTTAAAAAATGTGCTTCTGAACTGACCCCAGTTCTCTCTAAACTCTTGCTACATATTGTTTTCCTGTTTGTTGGAAATCCTCTTTAAGAACTCAGGTGAACCGTCTGATCTTTTTAACTGTCGGCTTATTAGTCTTCTACCTCTATTTGGTAAACTACTAGAAGCTCTAATCTACGTGGGATTGGTTAAGGATCTCATCTCGGTAGGGTCTTCTTTCAGATAGGCAATATAACTTTAGATCTTCTAGGTCTACAACTGATGTTTTAACGATTATTGCTGAAAGAGACTATCACGCTTTAGATAAGAATAGTAAAGCTCGGGCTTACTTTAGATATTTAGAAGGCATTTGACAGGGTTTGAAATGCTCGTTTTCTTCACAAGTTGAAAGGTTATGTTATTTTTGGACGCATGTTTTTAAGAGATTCAGTCTTCTTTCTTAAATTTCGGAATTAAACTTCTTGAACAGCCACACTTCGAGATCTTTTGCATTAATGCAGGCGTCCCCAAAGAGCTCTATCTTTGACATACGTCGTTTCTAATTTTCATCAACGACCTTAATGTCTTTACTTCTCAAGGCGCTATCTATGCTGATGACATAGCTATTTACTCCTATCTTAATGCTAAGTCTGATCAGTTCGAGGAGGTCAAATTGGCAACTGATCTCAAAAATGACCTAAAATCTGTTGTTAATTGAATCAAGGAATGGCGTGTTAAATTAAACGCTTCTAAAACGTATCTGATACATTTTAATCGTCTGAGTAAACCTTATCTGCCTTTACCATCAGTATGACTGATGCTAACGTCCAGGGGAGTGACCCATTGCGCTTTCTCTTGATAGCATTTTCCGCTGACATGAAGTGGAAAGATTATATTGAATCACTTGCTAAGTCTACTGCTAGGAAAATTGGTTTACTGTGTTGCGCTAGACAGTTTATTCTCGTCAGATTCTGTTTTACACATTTATACATCTACCATTCATCCATGCATTGAATATGAATTGTAATATTGGCATGCTAATTTTTCCAAATTTAGTCCTTTATCTAACAAAACTCTGCATGGTCGATCTCTAGATGTGCGTATTTGATTGCGTCAGTGAATGCGATTACGTATCAGTCATAGAATCATGATTAAAATCGGAGAAAATATAATAATTAGCTGACAAAGAGTTGAACATATCTCAAGGTATTTACATGTAATAATATTGTAAACAAATAAACTTTTACATATGAATTCTTTCCCTGATGTAAATTTTACCTCAAGACGTCATGGGAATAATTTGCGCGTTGTATCGTTCACAACGTTCAATCTGGTCAGATGGATGACCGCTTTGCAATACCAGGTGTTGCAAGCTTGGAATGTTCATGTGGGGTTATGGATAACGGTACGGAAGGAGAAATCGGAGTTGTCGGGTTTGTTACCTTTACTTACACGCAAATAACCTTGGAATGGTATACATCCATCGCCTCTACCGACCAGCTATCGGTTGAATAGCAGGATAGACTGATCATTTAGCCTTGGCTAGCAACCAGTTAACCACAGAAAATAACGGCAGCCTACCGCATGAAATTTTCTTGTAAGACAATCATGAATCAAAAAGAGACATGATTATGTACAAGCGTGTATCATGTCTGGCACCAAAAATGCACTACTCTCGAAAAAATTAAGTATAATTTTCAATAAACAAAAATAATTAATATTTAATTTTATTTAGAATATTGCAAACATAAATTATATTTAAAGAGCCACCTTTAATTTAAATAGAGGGTGAAAACTTATTTTTGAATTGCCGGTTTTAAACTGAACGTCGTTGACAAAAAATTAAACTTTTCTTGTGTTGCGATTACTGTTTTTAAAATCAGACCAAATATATCAATTTTGAATATTTTTCGAATAGTTATTTTGAAAATAAAAAATAATCATTTATTTGGAATTAATATTTTGTTTATTAAATGTCTAACCACAGAAAATATAAAGGTAACATCCTGATACATTACAATGTAAAAGATATCAATTTAAAAAATAAACTACTTAGCAACCAAGAGAAACTATTTGTTAACATTGGTTTTCACTGATCTGAATCATAAGAGAAACCTCAATAACTTTATCAACATCACCTGGTTACTTACATCTTAGATTCTCTTTGTGTAATGAGTAAAGATGCGTGAGTCTTATTATCAACAGAATACTCAAGAAAAAACAATCTCTTTTAGCTGTCAGCCTTAAAAAAAAAAGGAAAACTTGATGACAGCGGCTGCAGCAATCGTGTTAGGAGGCTGCTCAGTCAGCTCCCAATATGAAGCGACGACCGACCGACCCATGTTGTTTACAACTCTCCATAACGCCATTGAAAGTAGAAACATTGGCAGGCAGCGACGTCGCCACCCTTTTACCCTGTGAATTGATCTCCTCTTCCTTTCTCTCTTTCACTTTCTCTCCTTCGCATCAGTTTCTTTAAAGGCTCTGGCCAGCAAAACACAAAAAGCAGTCAGGCAGGCAAAATACCCGCCCCAAAAGCTTGATTTTCCCGCCTTCTCTTACATCACTCACGTGTATTTCTTCTTTTTGTTTGTGTTCTATTTCTCTCAACACATTTATCGATCTTTTTTATTTTCTATTATTCTTGGCATTTGTAGCTCCACCTTTTTTCCTATTTGATTTTTCGCAACCCCTCCTTCAACTTTATGTGACATCAGTTCTTTCTTTCTTTCTTTCTTTCTTTCTTTCTTTCTTTCTTTCTTTCTTTCTTTCTTTCTTTTACTGTTGCATTTTTATTGCTTTTTTACGTCTATTTCTCTTTATTTATTATTGAAATTCTTGGTATTTTTTAGCATTCTCATCTTTTTCCCCATTTTCATTCACTTTTTCTGTTTCTCCTCTTTCTTTCTTTTTTCTTTTTTCTTTTTTCTTTTTTCTTTCTTTCTTTATTTCTTTCTTTCTTATCGCTGTCTTTCTTTTAACGTTGTTCTATTTATTTTTATTATTGAAGTTTGTATTTTCTTTAGAATTCTCATCTTTCTTCCAATTTTCTTTCACCTATTTATCCTTCCCCTTCTCTTTCTTTCTTTCTTTCTTTCTTTCTTTTTCTTTCTTTCTTTTGTTTTCATAGATTATTTTCTTTTAACATCTTTCCATTCATCTTTATTATTGCAACTCTTCTTTTTTTTACCATTTCTTTTCTACCTATCTCTTCTTCCTTTCTCTTCTTTCCGACAATTTCTCTTTCATTGTCTTTTCGATATACATTCACTTCAACGTTACATTTCTTTCACTTTTTTCTTCACTCATTTTTCCTTATTTATTCTTCTGTTTTCAATTACCTTCTTTTTATTCTTCTTTTTACTGCAACTTCCAATTTTCTTCTTTTTAGTGTTTTTCTCGCTCTTTTTTCTATTATCTTGCCATTTTTTTCGGTTTCACACTCTCTAAATCGTTTCCATTTGTCTGACTTACCTTCATAAGTTCGTTTGTTTACTCTCTCTCTCACACTCTCTCTCTCTCACTCTCTCTTGTCCATTAGACCTACCCCTCCACATTGGTTTCTATTAACTAACGCACTTTAATTCTTTTGCATAGTGTCAATTGGGAAAACACACACACAGACACACACAGACACACACAGACACACACACACGGAGTCTCCGATTCATTCGCATTTTCTCTTTCTCCCTGTCATTCTCACACCAACATTCTCTTTCTACTTATCTCTCTCTCTCACACACACACGCGCGTGCGCGCGCACACACACACACACACACGAACACACACATACGCACTTCATACCTCTCTCACACATACGTACACTCGCAGACATGAATTTATTATCTATCTCTCATACACACAGGGTTACCAGATAATCTCTTTTACGCATACATAAGCATCCACAGACTCACTTTCTATCTCTATCTCTCTCATTCTGTCAAACGCAGACTCGCTTTCACTCGATGGTGCACACTGACCACATTTCTCGTTTGCTTTCTTTTAAAGACACACAGACGCAGACAAGCACACAGACGCGCACGTGCCAAAACTAGCTTTAATGCTGTCTTTTCTCTCTCATGCACAAATGCTCGAATCTTTCTCTTTCTCTATCTATCTATCTATCTATCTATCTATCTATCTATCTATCTATCTATCTATCTATCTATCTCACATTCATACGCAAAAGTCTATTAGTTGATCAGACAATCAATCATTCGATCGAAGCAAATCAACAGACAGACAAAATGGTGATTAAATTGTGCCAAAATAGATAATTAAATGTAATTAATTTTCTCACACCCACCGATATTCCGACATGCAAATTTGTATGCATATGGACGGGGATGTTTTCCATGACCCATTTGATATTCCATACTGAATAATTCCCTTTCATGGCATCCTACATGGCAAATGGGTGTCACTTGGTGAAGATCTTGACAGTACAACCTGTGCAGGTAGCTTAAAGTTTAGCGGTGCCTAAATTTGAATCGATTTACCGAGTTCTAATTTAGAACATGTCTATTTCGTTTACTTCGCACCAGTGCCTTTTGTAAAGGCATCAATCTCTCTTCCTATGGGTTAAATATCAGAGAAGACGCGTTCTCTTACCTTGCGTGGCGGTCGGTCTACAAGAAGGAAAACTGAAATCAAAACCGTGAAATCGCGCCAATAAATGGAATCTCTGGAAAGTTCTGAAAGGCAATGCTATTAAAAATACCCCTAAAATTACATCAATCAGTCTATCCTACTATAGACATTACTGCTGCTACGACTGCAGAAGATGTGCCATGACACCTCAAAAAGACTCGTGATCGTGACATGGAACAAGTAACAAGGAATGATCATTGACCTAACCTTTAAACAAACGGACAAGTTGGATTATCTTTACATGACTAAAGGTCTTACCAACTACTATGGGGAGAAGAGGATTCATGCCTTTTAAAATGGTATTACTGCAAAATAAAAGCCAACTGTTCTAGTCGGTGTTCGCCAATTCTTAACCGTTCGGTCACCTACAACTCCTTGTATGACAATTCAGCGGGTCAGTGTCAATGTGTAAGTGCTTGAATGACTACAGTCCAAATGTGTCATCCATTTGCAGCAAAGAGACAAAGTCTGAGAAAAAAATACACAAAAACAAAAAAAAGACCAAAAACTAAAAGTCGACGAAAGATTAGGAGGAGTAAATAGAGATTCAGTATAACAATGATAAATTCTACCAAATATTACATAAACATTTAGATGATAATTAAAAAAATACGTTTTTTACAGAATGCATAAAATCCAAGGACCGAACACTGAAAATAGAAAAAGAAAAATACTTCAGAGATGAAAGGAATACATTGAAGAACTCTTCCATAGCAAAGGAGGGAAAATGCTAAAGCTGAAATCTCCAATACACAGAAATATCGAATGATCAGAAATATTAAAGTCTGGTGTGAAATCAGTACTGAACAAAATGAATAGGAACAAAACAATAGGACCAGATGGAATTGTAATAGAGATACTGACAGCTTTAGATAATTCCAGCATTAACAAAATTACAGATATAAATTAAACTTACGACAATGGTGATATACCGGAAGATCTAAATATATCTATTTTCATAGCTCTAACCAAGAAGCCAGGTACAAATGAAGGGAAATTCTATCAGACAATCAGCCTAATAAGCTACATAACAAAACTTATTAGAATAGAGTGCGAAGCAGAATTGACCGGAAATAGCATAAGAACAGTGCGGTTTGAACATAGCCACTGGAACAAGGAATACTTCACTCAGAATGATAACGGAAAGAGGAATACAGATGCAAGTGGATGCATATCTATGTTTTATAGAATACTAGCAGTAGAGCCCGGCGTTGCCCGGGGATGTAACAGTAAGAGATAGATCAAGTATCGACCATCATAAAGACTGAAAAATAAAATTAACAAAGATTATTGTTTAAGGTTGACGGACACGCATGTCTTAATTAGTTTTTTTTTTTTTTTACGAATTGGTCAAACCCAAACTCAAACAAAAACATTGTTTTCGATCGTTATGAGTCTACCGATTGAATAGAATTTTATTATAAGCAATTAAACAATTGTCTTGGAAATGGAATTTTTAAAGCATTCTGAATGTAAAAATAAAGAAAAAAGTGTGCAAGACAATAAGAAACACTACCTGCCATAAAATCGATCCCATATATAAACGAACACACACAGTATAACTCGATATGAGTTGTCCCCCTTTCATTCACGCGATGCCTCTTAATCGTGTTTTCAAATTGATTTCGTGCAAAAACAATTGTGTTTTTCCGGTTTTTACGTAGTCCTGTGAAGTTTTGTTGAAATCGGTTGAAAAATGTAGGAAATCCGATCCAATATATAAACGTACAGACACACACACACACACAACCTGGGTTTTATAATAAGTATGATGTAAAAATGTTTTATGAAGCATGTCACAAAAAACTTTGATTTATTGGGAAGAGATATTAAAATAATCCAGAATTTATACTAGGAGCAAATCCCCTGAATGTGGATAGAAAATGAATTCAATAATAGAAAGGGGCGTAAGACAAGGATGCGTTTTCTCATCAGACTTATTCAACCTTTACGGTGAAGTAATCTTGAGAGAATTAGAAGTCCTACCAGGATTCCTTATTGGCGGCCACAGTCTTAACAACATTGTATGCAGATTTTACAGTGTTAATAGCAACAACAAAAAGTTAACAATAGGGTCTCCTACGGAACGTAATAAAAAAAAAGCGAAAAGAGAGGACTTAACATCAATTGAAAGAAGGTGAAATGGATGGTTGCCAGCAAAACGAATAGTCCAACATGCAAATTAAAATTAGAGATGACAAAATTAAACAAGTGCAAATATTTAGATATCTAGGAAGTGTTTTTAACAGCACATCAAAATCTGAAGGCACATTGGAATAAAGAAAGTTGACCCCTAAAATGTAAAATACAGGAAATTTTCATTATGAACAAATAAGAGAGTACTGAACTGTTATGCGATATCCGTATTCCTACATGAGAGTGAATCCCAGACCATCCCATCACAGATGGGGGAAGAGAACTTGAAGCAACAAAAATATGGCCATACGCACATACGCTGAGAACACCATGAACTAAACACATCAGTAATGACGATGTTTTGGAAAAATGGAAACAAAAAGGAGTCTTATATCCAAAATCAGAAAAAGACAATTGAAATTTTGGGGGCACTTATTGAGGAAAAAGAGCTTACAAAATTTGACAAGCACAGGACCTGTTGAAGTTAAGACGGACAGAAGAAAGCATCACATGAACTACCTACCTACCTGACATAAAGAACAATATTAGCCATTTCTTTATAAGGTTAGGATTCAAAATAAAGACGAAAAAGTTAGAAGAATAGTTTTTATCAGAGACACTGAAATCATCACATACACATATCCACACAGGCATTGAACGTGCTGAGATGGTCAGCAAGGTAGTCTTATTAGATCATTTAAGACTGAATAGTGAATTCGATCATCACTGGGTGAACCATACTTTCGGTTTCGGGCCACATCTGAGCTACCCTTAGAAAATCACTATACACGCACGTGCATATCAGTGTGTGTGCGCGCGAGAGAGGGCGTACGTGCGGGGAAAGGAAACTGAAAGTTCCCAGCTAGACCAAGAAGTCCTTCTCCAAAAGTACATATATATATATGTACTTTTGGAGAAGGACTTATATATATATATATATATATATATATATATATGCTGCTTTGTAATTGAGAAGACACCTGGTGTTTATTTCGTCTATCGACCTGTGCATTGGAGAAAACATAATAATGAAAGGAAGGGTACGAACTGGCGTCCTTTTTGTAGGAGTAACCATTGTCTTATCCAGAGAGCTTAACAACCGAACAATGTTCTATTTGTCCTTTTATGGAATGTATATTCCTCGTTCATACTTGCACCAAGGACCATATCTGCACAGTTTCATATCCAAAACGTAAAGGAAGCAATTTTTAAAGAATTAATAGATTTATTTTTAATCAGACATCTTTATTCAAACGTTATTTTTAGTGGATACAATTATTTGAGTAGACGCCACGTTTTTGAACGTTATTTATTACGTATAGTGGCTTGCACACACGAGAAAAATTCATAAAAAAAATGTTGTGTGGGCCGGTGGACGTAATAAACACTGTTCAAATTACGAGGCATTTACTCAAATACGAGTATCAACTAAAATAAAGGTTGAAGTAGTAAAATTATTTATTGTTTGCATATATATATATATATATATATATATATATGTGTGTGTGTGTGTGTGTGTGTATGTGTGTGTGTGTGTGTGTGTGTGTGTGATAATGAATATATATATCGATCTATCTATAAAAAGCAGGATGTGTGTGTGTGTGTGTGTGTGTGTAACGAATGCACGGCCGCAATTTTCGACCGATTTGCACCAAAATTTACATGCACATGCTCCAAGTTAGTGGAAAGGCCAAGACCGACATTGCATTTCCCAACTCCCATCGGTAGTGGAAATAATCGATTTTTTCATGCTTCTACGACAGTTTTCATATAGTTTGCGGCCATTTTCTACTGGCCAGAGTGAGAGCCTATAGCTTTCTGCCACGAATAGGCTGGAAGATTCTATTGGCCAGCGTGAGAGCCAACAGCTGACTGACACGAATGTTAACTAGCATGCTAGCATGCAAAAAAATCGATAGCTGCATTCGTCACAAGTGAGAAAAATTTAAATCTGCATGGCACTTTACTCCAATTGGTTCATTTGCTTGCTTAAACACAACGTTGATTCTGTGAAGTGGGCCATGCTGCTAGTATATATATATATATATATATATATATATATATATATATATATATATTATCCATAGCAAGACGCGTA